GCCTTGGGAGACTCTGGGATGGAAAACAGGATGGTCAGCTAATCCCATGTAGGATTAACCAAAGGGAAAGGAAGAAGGAAGCTTGGAGGCAAGGAGTGCCAGGGGGAATTCATTCATACCCCTTAATCCTTTCCCCTTAGTCCAGAGCCACAGGAGCATCGGGAAGGTGATATTGGGGCTGGTAGCAGAGGGGCGATCCTCAAACCTCTGCCTCATCAACTGCCCCTGTGGCAGCTCCAGTTCTGAGGAGGGCATGGTCCTATCCGCCACTCTGCTCCTGGGTCCTAGAGGTCACCCAGCAAGGTGGGCTCTGGAGAGGGGCCTAGTCTCTGGCCCTAGGGCACCTGACTCAGAGGTTCCAGTTGCTGTGGGGGCTGGCTCTGGACAACCTCAGCCCACAGTGATGCTGAAGCCACAATGGAATCTGTTGCGCCAGTGATTGAGGAAGGCTCCAAGGGCTAGGGTGACAGGCAGAGGGGGCATCTTCTTCTCCAGCACAGCACCTACACACCAGTTACTATCCACCAAGCCTGTTGGGGGAGAGAATACCCACTAGGTTATTTAACAGGGATTGGAGGAAATAGTTACCAGAAATAAGGTAAAGTTTCCCTCCCTCTGCATCCCCCATTCCTCAGCATAGCCAAATGTCTCCCAATAACCCTCACCTCTAAACACCATGTTGGCCTGGGGCAGAGTCAGGTGGTAACCAAAGGAGAATGTTGTGTCTTGTAGCCTTGTGTTTGCCTCAAACTCCACTCCAACCTGAACCTGAGAACCATGGGCAAGGATGAGAGAGAGATCAGTATCAGTGAAGACCAGAAGGGTCCTGACGGGGGATCAGCAGAATGAAGGCATACATGGAAATATATACACAGCGTGGTAGGAAGAAAAATAGGTCAGCAGGGCGATAGAGGTCCAGATGAGCAAAAGTTCACAACTGACTTGCTGACAAGGAGGGGAGTGAGATCAGAGGTCTCACCTGTTCATTTGCCCTGTGGTAGTAACTTGCATGGGCCCCGCCTGATCCCACATTCAATGTAGCTACCCAGTGTACAGCTGTAAAATCCAAAGTACAGAGGGGAAGGAGTGTTAACTGTAGTATGACACAGGTCAGGAACCCCAGAAAAGTTCAGAATTTCCCCCCCTACCCACCACTACTTCACTTCGCCCCGTACCGGAGTACTTCCCAGCCAGTGTCAAGATGGCCCCCTCTTCACCTGGCCGCCGGTGATAAACTAGCTCTCCTCCCAGCACCAGCCGATGAGTGAGGCTCTGCAGGAAGTGAGCAACCATGATCACTGTGGGGGAACGGGGAGACATGGAGTCAGTCATAGAGACAACACCCAGACCTGCTCCCTCACCCCCAATAACCGCCACCCCAGCATGCCCAAGAAGTTCCTTTTCTACACTCCAAACTGTACAGAAGATGAAGAGGCATAGTAACATTAGCAAATGGGCAGCCAAGATAAAAAGAACCCTGTCCCAGTTCCTCACCCGACTCCCCAATCAGGTCAGGATTTCCTAGGGTCAGAGTGGCTGTGTAGTCATCTCCCCGATACTCGCCATCAAACTGCCATGTCAAGAACTTGGCCTGCTGCGTCTGAATGGCAAGAGCAAGAAGTAAAATCTCCCTCCCTCTTTATGATCATTATTGACTCTGCTCCTCCTTCCAAGCCCTCAGAGCAGGAAACCCATGAAGGAGAGAGGAAGTGCCTCAGGAGAGGGAGGCAGGAATTGTGATCACCTGGAAGACAGCCTTAGCTCGGAGCCGCTCTGCCAAGAGGATCATGACCTGGGCGTTCAGGCTGCCACTGCTGTCCATATCCCCTACCACAGTGGGGAACACCTGTGGAAGGGTATACACAGTAGTAAGGCTGAGCCGGATGGCATCACTCAGCCTAAACCCAAATATAGAACTTCATTAAGAGTGCACAGCGCCCCCTGGTGGAGTCACAAAGACACACTCTGGGCTCTTCACAGAAAATGTTTCTCTACCCTCTCCCATTCAGAAGAGACACAAAAGTCAGGTTACGGCCCATTCCTCCCCATAACACACACAATTCCTCTTCCTCCAGACCTGGGTCCCAGATTGGCTTTTAGGGAGATGACCCAGGTGTGTGGAGCCCTCACCTCAGTGGGACTGAGCTGCCAATCCCCTGCATAGGCCGCATGGAGGTGATATCCCGGCAAGCCCAGGGCACTCATGTGTATAGTGTGAGCCACCTGAGGAAAGAGGAGTCAGTGGAGAAAAGCGCATTCCTGCTCCACCTCAATCCCTTATCCCACCCTTAATCTTTTCCCCATTCAGAGGGCCTCTCACGAATCCCAAATATTCCAACATATACAGAGAGGGTCATCGGATTAAAAGCAACAAGTCCCACAGGCAGGGAAGTAAAGAGAACCCCACATCCTCCCTCATTTGTTCCACATAGACTGGCTAGGGCTGGAGTACAAAGGAAAGGAGAAGATGATCCAGGGACAGGAAAGGGGGAATAGTAAGGAGGGGCCAGAGAAGTGGGAGCACCTGGAAATGGCTGCTCAGAACCTTGTTGACAACGAGCTTCACGCCCTCCATCTGTGCTGGGAATACATCTGAAGGGGGTAGGGGAAGGGAAGGAATAAGCACAGACAAAGAACCACTACCCCAAAAGGTAGTCTCCCCTTTCAATTCCACAGGGAACACTTTGGAGGAATTAACCTCCTTTCAAGTCCTGCAATGAAATGCTCCACTTCATTCGGGCACCTGATCCTCCCTGATGCTGCATGCCCCAGCTGTGATCTCCCCTTTCCTGCTCCCATCGCCGGACATCCAGCATTCAAGACCCTCCACTCCTCTGCCCCTTCATCTTGAGACACCCCAATGCCAAGTTCTCACCTTTGCATAGCCGGTGCAGCTCATCGAAGCTCCCAGGGTTGGGCAGGGGTTCCTCTCGGCGGGGGCTCCGGCGGGGCAAAGTCCCCATTGGTGCCAGGCCCAATGTGTTCCCCATTTTAGTCCAGAGGACGGGGAAGGGCCGGGGTTAGCCTGTGAAAGGACGCTATTGCCCCTTTACCCTCCAACGGGCCCCACCCCCCATTATCCGGTTCCCTAGTCTCAGAAACTTCCACATGGTCCGACGCTAGACCTGGAACAGGAAGAGTAGGGAAGGAGAGCACTCATGGAGAGACAACCCTAGGCACACTCCCGCCCCATCTTTGATCTCTCACCCCCACCTGTCACCCTTGTCCTCTCTCCCTTTCTCTGATCCTAGCCCCCACCACAGACCTCACCTAGCTCCCTAGTCTCTCTACTCTTGATTCCCAGGCCCCAAGACCAGGCCTGCAATGGTGCAGTATCCCTTACCATCTCAGACCATCATGCTGCCCCTTTCCCCCCGGCACACCCCGGTCATCTTGATGGGGGCAGCCATCTTGAGTGATGGCAGAACTGCAGCTTCACGCTGCATTCTTAGCGTGGCCATGAGCGCCATCTTTGAATCTGGCAAAGAAAGCTGTCAAAGACCCAACCCACCCCTGATTGGGCCCCGCCCAATCAATGAAATTAAAAAAAAAAAAAAGCCTCGCTGTCTACCATGAGCCAATGGAAAGGGAGGAAGAAAATGAGTGGCAGGTGTGACGGCCCAAGAGCTTCAACCCTGGAGCTGCAGAGGCGGGCAGGACTTGATTGGTGGCCCCCTAGACTTAAGTGGAAGGCTTTAGATCACTAGGCCTCTCCAAGGTCGGGAAAAAATTTGTGAGCGTGCAAGACACTAGAGGGAGCATCTAGTAGCTTGGGCCAGTGAAGCTCCTTCCCCCCGTGTAGTTTCACCCTTGAGAAAAGTGAAACTACAGCTTGTAGACTGGCTTTGTGTGAAGGGTGGCAGAAAGAACCATTATGAAGACTTCTTTGGAAACCTGGTTCATTTCTATCGCTCCCCTCTTCCCAAAGAGCCCATGGGAAATCCTCCTCACAGCCCTCCACAGCACACCTCCAAATGAGTACTACTCATTAAACGCAGCACTGCCTAGAACAGGGACCCACCCTTCTCTTCTGGAGGTCTACATCTCTCGAAGTCCCCACTCTTGCCCACTTGGTGGAATGGAAACGGGTGTGAGAGTTTGGCGCAGAGCAGTAAGTTCTAGCAGAACTATTCGCTGAAAGAGCTGCTCTCTGTATTTAACCCTTCCTTCCCTGAGTCCCCAGGCAGAGTTGGCAAATAAAATCTAGGAATATGGAGCCTGGCCCCCAAATGCACTCCATCCCAGGACCGGGGCAAGCCAAAGGGCTGACCTCAAGCACTAAGCGCTCCACAGGGGAATAATTGAAGATGGAGTAAGATTTCTTGGTCTTGGAGGGTGAAGGGTGGGAAGAGGGAGAAGATCAGGAAAAATAACTAATGGATATTAGGCTTAATACCTGGGTGATGAAATAATCTGTACAACAAATCCGCATGACACAAATTTATGTATGTAACAAACCTGCACATATAGGCTGGGTGCGGTGGCTCACGCCTGTAATCCTAGCACTTTGGGAGGCCGAGGTGGGCAGATCACCTGAGGTCGGGAGTTCAAGACCAGCCTGACCAACATGGAGAAACCCCGTCTCTACTGAAAGCACAAAATTACCCAGGCGTGGTGTTGTATGCCTGTAATCCCAGCTACTTGGGAGGCTGAGGCAGGAGAATCGCTTGAACCCAGGAGACAGAGGTCACAGTGAGCCAAGATCATGTCATTGCACTCCAGCCTGAGCAACAAGAGCAAAACTCCGTCTCAGGAAAACAAACAAAAAAACCTGCACATATACTTCTGAATTTAAAACAAAAGTTAAAAAACAAAGATTTCTTGGTCTTTGGTCACTACCTCCCTCATTAGCTCTGCGCCTCCTCTCTCACCTCTCAGGAATGTTCCATATACTCAGGGAGTATGCTTGGGGGGGCAAAAGGGTGAAAGATACAAATGCTTCTGATATCTATTTAACTGATTTCACCCAAATGCTTTGAACCTGAGAATGTACCTATCCCCCTCCCCTACCCCCAACAGGAGTGAGACAAGGGCCAGGGCTATTGCCCCTGCTGACTCAGTATTGGCTGATCACTGCCTAGAACTGATAAGGTGATCAAATGACCAGGCACCTTCAACCTTTACCCTGGCAGAAGCCTCTTGTTCACCCCTTTTCCTGCCAGAGCCCTCCATTGGGAGGGGATGGGCGGAAGCTGTTTTCTGAATTTGTTTTACTGGGGGTAGGGTATGTTCACTGATCAGCATCCAGGTCATTCTGGGCTCTCCTGTTTTCTCCCCATCTCATTACACATTAACTCAAAAATGGACAAAATCATTTACACTTGCCTCTTACCCGACCCTCATTTTCGTAACCCCCATAGCCGTCAACCCTGTCCCTGATTTCAATTCCTTTCTCCTTTCTTCTGCTCCCCAATATCTCTCTGCCAAATTGCAGTAAAGTGGGATAAGGTTGAGAGATGAGATCTACCCACAATGGAATAAAGATACCATGAGCTTTCCATGGTATGATGGGTTGATGGTATCCCATGGGTTGATATATCAGAGCTTTCCAGAGAAGTAACTTGGAAATCCTGCTTCCTGCTGCATTCAAGTCCAAGGACCTCAGATCTCAAAAGAATGAACCTCAAATATACCTGAAGTGTACCCTCTTAGCCTCCACTAAGGGCTGTACCCCCTGCCTCTCACCCCATCACCATGAGTCTTCCATGTGCTTGTCCTCTCCTCCCCCATCTGTCCAACTTGTTTATCCTAACATAATCCCTGTCCCACTGGACCCATCATAGTTCCTGTCACCTGACGGGGGTGGGTAAACAGACAGGTATATAGCCCCTACCTCTCCAGCCAGGGCAGGCACAGACGCCAAGGACAGAGACGCTGACTAGGTAAGATAAGGAGGCAAGAGGTGTGAGCAGCACCCAAAGAGGCTTGGGCTTCAGTTGTGGAGAGGGAGAGAGCCAGGTTGAAATGGGCAGCAGGTAGGGAGATCCCTGGGGAGGAGCTGAAGCCCATTTGGCTTCAGTGTCCCCCCCAACCCCCACCACCCTCTTCCTAGGCCGCTTTCCCCACTGTCACCAACATGAAGCTGCTCGCAGCAACTGTGCTGCTTCTCACCGTCTGCAGCCTTGAAGGTGGGTGTGATATGGAGAGGGGGCCAAAAGGGAGAATGTGCTGGCGGTTATAGCTACCTATCTGCCTATGCTCTTATATCCAGGTCTGGCAACTAGAGGGCTCAAAAGGAAGATCATTCCCTATCTAAAGCCCAGAAAGCCCATCCAAAGATCTGACTGGACACCTTTTTGGGGAGGGGGCGGAGAGCTGGGGTGGGTACTGGCAGAGGTATGGCAAGAGGCCAAGATTCATTGCTGTGGACCCAGCTGAAAAGAGTGTGTATGTGTGTGTGTGTGTGTGTGTGTGCAGGAGCTTTGGTTCGGAGACAGGCAGAGGAGCCAAGTGTGGAGAGCCTGGTTTCTCAGTACTTCCAGACGGTGACTGACTACGGCAAGGACCTGATGGAGAAGGTCAAGAGCCCAGAGCTTCAGGCCCAGGCCAAGTAAGTCTAAGGGCAAGGAGTTCAGGGGCTGTGGAACTGTGGAAAGGAAGAAGGGAAGATGAGAGGCCCCACAGAAGACTGAACCCAGGGGTGGGGATTAGGGCAGATTAGGCTTAAATTGGAGAGAAAAAGTCCTTTGTTGCCCAAAGATCCCACACGTTTCTTAGATAGAGAGGAACAGCAAGAACTGAGCTTTGAATTTCAGTCTCTAGGGTCTGTTCCTCTACCCAGCAAAGGTCTTGGCTCTACTCCCACCTAGGGGCTTTGCCATGCGATGGACCAGGCACTAGAGTTTGGGGACCTGAGTCAGTCTGCTCTGACCTCCCACCACGACCGAGGCCCCTGCCAGTGCCTAGGGTCCCTCAAATTAAACTCTAATCCCCTCACCTATCCAGGGCTTACTTTGAAAAGTCAAAGGAGCAGCTGACACCTCTGGTCAAGAAGGCTGGAACGGATCTGGTTAACTTCTTGAGCTATTTCGTGGAACTTAGAACACAGCCTGCCACCCAGTGAGGTGTCCAGATCATTGTCTTCCAACCCCAGCTGGCCTCTAGAATACCCACTGGCCAGGCCTGGAGCTCCTCTCCCTACCCACTCTTTGCTACAATAAATGCTGAATGAATCCAGCTCTGAGCCTGGTATGTTTGGGGGACTGGGAAAAGTAGGGGAGTAGGGGAGGAGAAGAGGAAGGAAAAGGAAAAGTCTGCTTCTAGAAGGAGAGAAGTTTGGGTGTGGAGGGGTGAAGAAAAGATTGAAGACACAACTGATGAAAATGACAGGGGGAGGGTGCCATGATTCTTCTCCAAACCCAAAGAGTCTCCTACGGGCTGGGCATGACTCTGCAAGAGAACACTAAAGAGGCTTTGCGTTGCACACGGAACTAGGAGAGGAAGGAAGAATTCACAAACTGAATCCCTCGATTTCTGGATGTCATAGAAAATGAGGGTACCCTGGTGGGGTGCAGTGGCTCACGCCTGTAATCTCTGCACTTTGGTAGGCTGAGGCAGGTGGATCACTTGAGATCAGGAGTTCCAGACCAGCCTGGCCAACATGGTAAAACCCCGTCTCTACTGAAAATACAAAAATTAGCCAGGTATGGTAGCACATGCCTGGATTCCCAGCTACTTGGGAGGCTGAGGCAGGAGAATCACTTAAACCCAGGAGGCAGAGGTTGCAGTGAGCTGAGATCGTGCCACTGCACTCCAGCCTGGGTGACAGAGTGAGACTCCGTCTCAAAAAAACAAAAAAAAAAAGAAGAAGAAGAAAAGAAAAAAAGAAAACGAGGGTACCCCTCAGAATTTCCTCTTAGTCATTCTATGAAGAAAAGAAAGCTTCCTAAGGTATCAACCAAGACCCTCGTTTCCCTTCTGAGCCAGGGCGACACTGTGTTTCCCCCTTTCCCACAGTAAAAGACTCAAGTTTGCTCCTCTCCCTGGAAGTGCTCTAATTTCTCCATTTAAAACCTCTTGTCTAGGCCAGGTACCGAGGCTCACACCTGTAATCCCAGCACTTTGGAAGGCTGAGGTGGAAGAATCACTTGAGGCCAGGAGTTAGAGACCAGATTGAGAAACACAGTGAGACCCCCTAATATATTTTTTTTAATTAAAAACAAAAGCCCAGCTGGGTGCAGTGGCTCACACCTGTAATCCCAGCACTTTGGGAGGCCGAGGTGGGCAGATCACCTGAGGTCAGGAGTTCGAGATCAGCCTGGGTAACATGGTGAAACCCCATCTCTACCGAAAATAAAAAAATTACCCGGGAGTGTTGGCACATGCCTATAATCCCAGTTACTCAAGAGGCTGAGGCAGGAGAATCACTTGAACCTGGGAGGTGGAGGTTGCAGTGAGTCGAGATCATGTCATTGCACTCCAGCCTGGGCACCAAGAGTGAATCTCTGTCCCAACAAACAAACAAACAAAAAACAAAACAAAAAAAAACAAACAAAAACCCTCTTATCTAGACACTGCATGTGGAAGATCCATTCCAAGCCTCTCCTCTTTATAGAACTGGCCTGGTAGCCATCTTGGAGCCTGGAACTAGTAGCTGTGGTAGCCATTTAAAGGCCTGGCAAGTATCCAATTTGGTGGACATGTGGGACTAGAAAAACTTTGGGAGCTGTGATACCTGGATTAAATGAAAATGGAATGGAAATCAGTCTGGGTTGATGGGAAGAGACTTACAATCCCAAGAGGCAGAGAAAGGGAAAATGAAACATTTTCCGATAAAATTTTATTCCCACTTTATCTTTAAAAGAGTTACTTCCAGGTCAGGCTTGGTGGCTCACACCTGTAATCCCAGCATTTTGGGAGGCCAAGGCGAGCAAATCATAAGGTCAAGAGATCAAGACCATCCTGGCCAACATAGTGAAACCCCATCTCGACTAAAAATACAAAAAAAAATTAGCTGGGCATGGTGGTGCTTGTAGTCCTAGCTACTCGGGAGGCTGAGGCACAAGAATCGCTTGAACCTGGGAGGGAAAGGTTGCACTGAGCCGAGATTGCGCCACTGCACTGTAGGCTGGCAACAGAGGGAGACTCCATCTCAAAAAAAAAAAAAAGAAAAAAAAGAAAAAGTTACTTTCCTACCCTGGCTCATTTCTCATATCTCATCTGAAATCACCTTTCCCCCACAGACACTGGAGATGGCTCCAATTCCTTCCAGATATTGATCAACCTCCTTCATCTGGCCTTCATGACCCTCACCATTCATGATTACTCACTACCCCTTCTCTTTCCCAATATCCGCTTTTTCTCATGTGGCAAAATGTGCAAAGACAAAAGTGATCTCAGTCGGTTCCTTGCAAGCTGAACTTGGACAGGTTAATTAACCTCAAATAGCCTGAATTTCCTCACAGGGTTAATTAGCAGATCAAATGGTACAATGAGCTGGAAAATACTTTGAAAAGTGTAAGTCGCTGTGCAGTGTGAAGTGTTGTGCAGTACTGTGGAGGTTGGGGGTTATGCCAGGGGTAAGCTTGGAGTCTCTAGACCCATTCTGAAAAGACTGTGGGTCACAAGTAGGACTGGCAGCATCTCCTGAGGTTTAAATTCTTCCAGGCAAATATTTCTCATAACTCTGAAAACAGGACAGGCATTGACAGGGCCTTGACCACCACCCATGCACTTGAGGGAGATGACCCGGCATTTGGACCCAACTTATTTCCCTTTGCCTTACCTACCACTAACCCATCTGGCCCTCTAAGCTCCCACTTGCCCCAGACACCATGAAAATTCACTGTTTCTATAAAACCTTCCATTAGGAGCTTCACACGTGCCTAGTCATACCATCCATTCTGCATATTTGGCTTTTCAGCTATGCTAATTCCCATATGCATGTACTGGATTGGTGCTGTCTGGATTGGTGACTATCTGGGGACACCCAGGTTCCCCTACAACCCAACCTTGGTTCAATCGTCAAACACAGAAGGCCATGCTGATACAGAAGTCATTTCTTATGTTTCCAAATATGCCTAGACTCCCAACACACTAGTACCTGCTCCATCTCCATCCTCAGAGCACCTGGAGGTCAAAGGTTTTATCCCTCCCCCAGCCATAGTCAACGTTTATCCCTCAGTCAGCAAAATAGCCCTGAAGTCCATTAGACTGTGAGTTCTGGAACTGAAAAACTGTACCTAGTGCTTAGTAGAGACTGAATAAATATATGATAAATGAATGAATGAATAGAGTCCAGTCCATGGCAGCTTTATTGGGGGTTCTCCCTTCCCATATTTTAGCTGGAGTTGGGGATGGGGAAAAGAAGAAGGGTGGGACAAGAGAGTGAGACTAGAATATAAACATCCGTGAATAGCATCTGAGCATTAGTCTTTAACGGGGAGGAGGAATCACTGGTGTATATTAATTTAGGGCACAGGATCATTATAGGGGTAGGACCAGCTGATGTTAATGGCATGCAAGCATATGTGATGCCAACCATGAGGGCTGGAAGAACCAGAAGCTGAAGAATATGACCGCATCTATTCTAAAGCTACTGTGGTGGTTTCTCATGCTTCAGAGTCTCATAAGTTTCCTGGTTCCTGGTGCTCAGGCCCTGGAGGTGGGAGTCAAAGGGTGATCAGGAGCTGGAGCCCATCAGGGGCCCCTCCCACCTCCACAGGCCCCGCCCCTTCCAAAGATCGCTCAGAATCCCACCCTCTTCTGCTGACTTCCCGGGTAGGGGAGGCAGGCACACTTACCGTGTAAACACCATCTGATTTCTGCAGAGACAAAAGAAGCAAAGCATTAGAGACCCACAGCTTCTCCAGGGCCCCAGGGAGGCATGGGGCGTGGGCGGCCAGCCACCTTGGGCTAGAGGGCACTCACATGGATGCTCTGGACCATGGATGCCTATTTGCCCACATGGCTACAAGCACACATATACACCCAACATACCACATCCAAGTCTCTCACATATTATTTGTCACTCTATGCTTGATTCTTCCCTGTCACCTGCCGAATATTTTACTGCTGGCTTGGCTAGGTAAGGTGGGAGGGAGGCCTCTGAGGTGTATGCAGATCAGCACCTGAGAGGCATGCCCTCCCAGAGGCCCGGAACCCCAGGCTGGAGCCCCAGAAGGGCTGAAGGTCTGAAAAGCTGTTGACACCAGGTGTGGGAGGGTCCATACCTCATAGCTGGCTATAGCTGCCTTTCGCACTTGGATCTGGAATGGGGGAAAGGTTATTAGAAAAGGGGAAGTTAGTGGCCCATCCCCCTTCCCTGCAAACTTTGTCGGGGAGCCCCTTTTATTCCTTCTCTTCGAATCCTTGCTGCTGCCCCCCTCCCACTTCCCCTTCCAGTCCCTTACCCCTCCCTGCCCAGCGCTACCTTTAGTCGACAGTAGAGGAGGGTGAGGACAATTCCATACAGAAACAGGATGGCATCCAGGATATAGCAGAGCTGAGGCTCTCCCAGGGCCGCTGAGGGGATAGAGGGTGCCCGTGGGGTCAGGGGCATCAGGGAGGATCTCGTACTCAGAGGAGAGAAGGGAAGGGGCTCTGGGAGGTAGGACAAAGCCTGGAGGGGGGCCGTCTAAGGGAAGAAATTCTGTTTCTCTCTGGCCTCCCACTGCCCTTACCTTTCCCTCTTCTCCCCCACCGTAGGGGCGGGCTAGGATGGGAAGTGTGAGGGTTCTATTGAGATGGGACTTATGTGGACTAATAATTGAGGCCTTCCCCCTCAGCCCCCAACCTTTTCTTTTTAGCATTGTGGGTTTCTCAGGCCCACATTGAGCAATTTATCCACCTCAAGGGACCCATCTGAGTCCACCCGACTGAAACAAAAACCTCAGCCGGGAGGGGTAGTGGGAGGGAGAGGCAGTGGCAAATTTCAGTGAAGAAACCACAGAAGTGTCTCTAAGTCCTGTGACCTGTGGCTGAGGGCTGGACAGGAAGGATGTGAGCTGGGGAAGGGAGAGAAGGCAATTACTCTGTCATTGGTCATCTCCTAGCCTCAGCCTTGTTGCTTTCTGTCCTGCCACAAGACACTTAAATATGTAATAAAAATTAAAAAAAAAAAAAAGTGTCTGTTTTTCCCAGACCGTACAGATACCTTTGGCCCTGAACACAAGGCTGGGGGAATGACCACAGCTATATGGATACCAGCTCCTGTTACTCTGCCTTATTACTCACTC